AAGTGGAGGAAGATGGGCATGGATGTTAGCCCAGGGCCAGTCTTCCTCAGCAAAAAAAAAAAAAAAAAAAGAGGAGGATTGGCAGATGTTAGCACAAGACTTATCTTACACATACACACACACACACACACACACACACACACACACAAATAAATAAAATGGAGTCGGGAGGCCAGAAGGGGGAACGCTCACTACTGCCACTCGAGGTCAATTGCAGACCCCAACAGGAAGGCATCAATTACAGACCTCCTCCAGGAAGAATTCTCCTTCCCCAAGGGCAAGCCCAACTGGTGGGAAACCGTCATCACCCTGCACTCTCACTTTCCTCAGTGGACTTTCTTTTAAAACAACCCCTCCCAACTTCCTCCTTTTTCTCTGTAGTAATGTTCCCTTCCTCTGTTTATTGGACTTGCCCATGGTTTTTGCTATAGCTTGCTTGTCCCAAATTGCAATGTCTCTACTATTCCCAAATAAACCCATTTTGCTGGTAAAATAACTAGCTGTTTTATTTTTTATGACAACTTGGGATTCTTTTTCTGAGTACAACTCAGTGTTTAAGAAAATCATTAGCTGTATGAGGAAAGGAAGAGGAACTTAAGACAAATATGAAGTGTAACTCCTGGTTCTTGATTAATCAGAAATGATAGCAGATGACATCAAATTAAGATGCCGTTTGAAAAATGAGGTTTACCAGACCTTCAAGTTTACCCAGACCACAGGTTACATAAGAAAGGGGTACCCAAACCTATGTCCTTATATTTTTGCATTGAATATAGTTTTATAACTATTTAATTCAGCTTATAAATTTTACATTGAAAAATACATTTAAAAAAAGGCCGTTTCCCACTGGAGGAACATTTTTTGTTAAATATTAGGTTAAAAATGATTTCTAACTAAAATATTTTATAATTTAATAGGCCAGGTGGTTACAGCTATTCGATTTGGTGGAAAAACAATGCCAAGAACAGATAGTTGCCCAGCAGGAACAGTTTCACAACCAAATTCAAGTAAGTTATTATTTAGATTGATTTTTTTTTTATATTGTAAGATTTGCAGAGGAACCAATTAATACTCTATCAGTTTTCTTTATAAACTAAAGATAAGCATACATATTATCTTTACAGTAATATATTTTTAAGCACAATATTTTTGTAACATTTATAAAAATGTGATGTTAATATACTTTCTTACCCAAATCTATAACTTTTTATTTTCAGCGTATACAAGAGGAGATTAAAAATTTAGTTAAGTTACAGACCAGTAATGCTTCCTGGGCTTCCTATGGTAGAAGTTCTTTAGGTAAACAAATATCTTCAGAAAGTCAAATGGGTTTTTTTTCTGAAAACAGTGAGAGAAATGAATCTGTTATCAGTTACCCTAAGTCGAAAGAACTTGAAATGCAGCAAGAAACAGCCACATCACAACCAGACTGCAATGTGGATAGTAGCTCAGTGAGCAGTGGGTATGGTACCTTTTGTGTCTCAGAATTAAATACCTACAAATTGGAGGACCCTCAAGAGTTCATGGAGCTCACAGAGGTTTCTAGAGGACGGTATGGAGCCCCTGTGGTGCAGACGGAGTCACCTGTAGATGGTGTAAAAAATAAGAGTTTTTATAGTCATACTACTGAAGAGTTTTGTGCACCTTTAAAGGAAGATATTCCCACTTTTCCTGGAGAATTTGAACACAGTTTTCTTGGTGAAAATAAGATTTTGGAAGTACACAGTGGAAAAACAAATAGGTGAGTAGAATTTCTCCATCATTTGAAGGGAGTTTTACTGGTTTATTACATTTAGAATCTAGTAAATAAAGCACCTTTTAGTTGAACTATAATAGAGATGTATTTGAACATATATCAGTTTTACCAAAGTCTTTTATTGTTTGTGGAAAATTGAAATAAACAAAGCATGTTATATACTGATGACATCTGACTTTCTTCCCATTTGCAATGTTATAAAACCACTAAGCACTTAAGGTGGCAGGCCTTGCCACAAAAATACTTTTTATATTTTCTAGCCACTATAATCTTACTAAAAAGTAGAGAATGGTACTGTATCAACAGTGGAATTTTGCCACACATGTTCATATAATTTGAAACCAAAAATTATATACAAACGTGTAGTCAGTTTTATATTTTTTATATATAAGAAGAGATTTTGTAAGTTTAGTGACATTATGATTGGCCCAAGGGACTTTTTAGTAAAGGAAACTAAAGTAGTAAAGGCTGAATGTTTGTAAAGCAAATAATCCTTTAAAATTTGGGGGTTTACCCTAAACTTTCAGTTTTATATTTTTGAAATGTGTCATCTAAAGTTAGGTATTTAGCTGTAGCCACACAAATCTTTTGTGCCCACGAGTGTAATTATTAGTCCCTGTAAACAGATGTGCTTTCTCAATGCTTGTGCTACTCGAAGGGGCCACTGGGGTGGTTTTTGTTCTCTCCCACGGCTGCAGACGATATGTATTGTTCATTACTGGTCTCTTTTTGTTTACTTTGTCTTTGGTAAAAGGGAATTTAAGTGAATCAATAAAAATCCATCCTCTCTCTGCTATTAGAAAAGCAAATCAAAGCATTTTCCATTGACTCGGTATCTGCCAGTGTTTAGATATATGTGTGAAGGACAGCATCTAGAGAGTAATTTTGGTTTTCTCTTTTTAAATAGTAAATCTATAACATCATGGGCACAAAAGCTGAAGCAGAACCAGCCAAAGAGAGCACATGCAGAAGAGGGGTGTTCAAAATCTGTGCAAGGAAGTGAGCAAACCAAGAAATCACCAACGGAGAAAGTAGGTGAAAAGTGCCTTTAGTCTGGCATGCTTCAGCTGCTGGTCGTTATGTTGGGTTTACCAACTGCTCATCAGCTTACATTTTTTGCCCTTTCTTTTGTGTTGTTCCTTTGTCCCATTGATATATCTTCCTTTTGGTGCCTCAAAGGGTGAGAAACAGTGATTTGCTGTAAGTATTGGTTTTGTAGTAGGCCAGAAATCAAAACTAGTGAGGGATAAAATACTGTAAGAAATGAACCCTTTTTTTTTTTTTTT